TTTAGTTCTAGTAATTTCTGTTTCTTTCAAATGAAATGGAATGGCACAATCCCATTCCAGTCCAAATTTTTTTTTTGAAATATTTCATGAGATTTCCTTCTTCGTTTTCTCATGAAAAATTATAGTTCCTGTTTAAGAAAAAATATTAAATTGTTTAATTTCTTACTTGCATTCTTTTTTTCAAGAGAAAAACTTTTAATATTTTTATAGAAGTTTAGACAATGAAAAAAAGTACTGGATTTTATATAGTGATGCGTACTTTAAGATCGTTTGGATTTTTTGCAACACTTTTCCAATATAATTGTTGATTACTAGCCTAGCTGTCCTACAGGATAGGATGAGACGATTCTTTTGTCCTATCATATTATTTGTACTACTAGCTGTGCCAAAGAAACCCAGTTGAAAAAAGAACGTCAATAGTTTTAAAACCATCAAAATTTTAAAGTGTGGTTCATTGCGGCTCATAGACGACGGAGAGATAGCAGACTTCAGGAAGTTTCATGAGACTTCTATACTGAAGTCTCTGCTGTTTTTCTTTCTTCGATAAACTCGTTCAAGTATTTGATGAGAAACATTTGTTTTTTAATATTTAAGTGATTGATAAATTTATATTTTTTATTTTTTTTAAACTAAAACTAATTCTTCTATAGATTTCATATGAATATGGTTGATGATGATTTGACAATTATTCGTAATACTCTTCATATGAATATGTTATTATGTTTAATTATTGTACAAATATTATTTTTATTTGGTATTGATAAAATAAAACATAAAGTAAAATTTAGAGAAGTCTTGTTTTTTCTTTTTTGAATATGTTAAATTAAATCTATTTGTTTTTTGTCTTCTTTAGTTTGCTTGTCAAATAATATCTGTATTACTTGATTATTTTCTTTTGGCAACATTTTCATGGATGTTTGTTGATGGTATTGAGTTATTAATTGCATTAAAACATGTATTTAAAATTGATCGAATACGTTTAATGGCTTATTCAATATATTCATATGGATTTCCATTATTAATTGTTTTTCTTTCAATAATACTTTCAACAAAAAATAAAAATAGTTCAAGTTCATAGTACGTATTTTTAAAATTTATGTAAAAAAACAATCAATAAATGTTAAGTAGTCATATTTTCTCAAGATAAATCTTTGGATTTCTTGTTTTTTTTTATTTAAAAAACATAACAAAAGTCTAAATGAAGAGTTAAAACATGACACTTAAAACTCCTATAACTTTATGATAAAGACTTACAAATGAATACTAAGTAAAACTAACTCTGAAACATACTTACAACTAAGATAGCTCTCTTAATTAATTGAGCCCTTCGAAAAAAATTTTAAATACAATTACCTAGGACGATTATTCCAACTGTTGGATATATTGGTCTTAGGCTGTTGTGAACTGTCGTCGTACTTCATTAAGTTTCATCGTTATCCAATTTTTTTTCTCTCGCTAACTCTATTTATTAAGAACTTAAGTATTTAATATGGAGCAGTTCGATTTGTTTTCTAAGTTTAATAATTAAAATAAATATTTAATGATCAATCAATTTCATACGTGCTATTATCTTAAAATATGTTTTATTGAAATTTTTATCGTGTCTTACGTTATATAATCTTGCAGAATTTGCAATGACAATTTTTAAGTTTGATTTTTTAAGATATTTTTTGATTATTACATACATTTGATTGTATGGATCTTTTTTTTCTGAATATTCCATATCAAATTTCAACTTTCCATTTTAGAGATTCAAACCGTGAAAACAAAAACTATATTTTTATAAGTAGATTTGTAATAACTTTTTGAAAATTTTCTTATAAATAACATTTTTGCCTATAATATTTCAACTACAAGTAAATCAAAGTGAATATTCATTTATATCATTCGATTTATTCCACTGCAGAAAGTTACTCAACTTTTCTCATAAAACATACGAAATAGCTTTACTTATTTACTGAGTTTTTTTTTTAAATTAAGTAATATCTTCAATGGTACATTTCCACTGAAGTATCGTATATCTCTGCAAATATCCAGGAAAATTTTTTCTGTGTAATATAGATTTAGAGTTGATTATAATTTTGTTACGTTATAGATAGCAAGATTAAAAAGGTTACCATAGTCTTAGTAACAGACTGAATATGCACCGCATGAAACAAACATGAATCAAATGAAACAACTTAGCTCTATCTACATAGATGTGATGCACAAAAATTAATAATATATTTACTGAGATCCATGCTTAGAGTTTTGCTGCGACTATTATGAGCGTTTTCAGAAAATTAAATAACTTAAGTGATATTATCGGTTTTGATTTCAAATATAAAATTTTTGCATGGAAACAAATTTTTTATATTTTCTCTCAATGAATGGATGAGAACGTGCAAGAAAGTCTATCTATCATTGATGTAGACAGAAGAGAACCCACACAATTTTCCAACATGAAATATTTATTCAAATAAAATATTTCATATTCTTGTTAATGATAAGTTGGTTAAATATAATATGAAAAAAAGCGTTTTTTTTTCTTGATAATTTCCGATATAGGACAAAAATAAATCTTGTCTTTTAACCTTTACTCAAATGAAAATTACAATAACTAATATTTTTTATGTAGAACGCAATTAGTTCTATTGAATAATGTATCATATAGAAAATTTTGAAGTTAAAATAGGCTGACAATAATTTACAAAAGAAAAGTGATTAGATAATTTTGTAAAGATGAAAAACTACATGCTGTGATTGTATCATCATTAAAAAGTAAACAAATCAATGGATTGACCTGGAATATTTTTTTGCTTGAAATACTGATTCTAGTTCATCTAGTTCGTTGACATATATACAAAATAATCTACTGGTTGAATAATTTTGACAGTCACTTATCTTTTTATTTCAATAAGATTAGTCTCACACTAAAACAATCTCAAGAAATCAAAAACAGATCAAATTACAAATAAATGCATTACTTGATTAATCTTGCATTGAAGCAAATCAAGTTTTTTTAGGTTAAACTAAAATAATATAAATTCAGTGAGTTTACAATAAATAAATAATGAATACTAGAAATCTTATAATAAAAAAAAAAGGCTTTTAGTTGATACATCTAATCTATTTGATTTCTTACGCTTCTCTTTCGTGCGAGACTAATCTAATGGATTTCAAAGGTATATATATAGTGTCGTACACAACTTTACAACAGATGTATTTTTAAATTTTTTTCTCGATGGTAATAGTCAGAAAGAATCTAAAAAAACATTTATATAGCTAAAAGGATTCTCTATGAGGATTGACGAGTTCGAAGACTTCAATAAAATTGTTTGGATGAGAGTCTTGGGAACAGTAGCTGAACTGCATTCAATTTACAGAAGGTTCCAAAGTGTTAAACATGGCAAAAACAAAAAAAAACAATGCTTCTTGAGTCTTCTGTAAATCGAATGCAGTTCAGCTAATGTTCTGAAAACTCTCATCCAAACAATTTTGTTGAAGTTTTCGTACCTATCAACTCATATTATACAAATGTTTTTTTTTCAGATTCTTCCTAGCCATTATCATCGAGAAGAAAACTTAAAAATACATCTACTCTAAATCTTTGTCTGACACTATATTTATTAGTAACCAGCACGTTCGGTCCTATCAAATTGTATATAAAAAAAAACCATTTGAATACATTTTATTTTTTTTTTAGTTGTTGGTTATCTCATGATAGTGCATTTATTTGGACATTTGCTACACCTTTTATACTTATAATTCTTGTAAGTTAATTAAAAACAAAAAAAAAAAAAAAGGAAAATTCAAAAATGAATAATAATTATTATAGGTTAATTTTTGTTTTTTTATTATATCAATTTATTATATTTGTAAAAAAATAAATTCTACTGATCAAACAAATAAAATAAGGTTTGTATAAAAAGAAAGAAAAAATTTGTTTTATTTTTTGAAATTTTATATTTTTGAAGATTTTCTTTACGTAATATATCTACACTATCGATTCTATTTGGTTTAACATGGATAATTGCTTTATTTTATCTTTATGATCAAACTATTTTCTTTGCATATATATTTACTATATTTAATTCATTTCATAGTTTATTAATATTTATATTTTATTGTTTATTACAAGACTATGTTCAAAATTCATTAGGAAAATTTGATTTTTATAAAAAACATCATGCATCGGTAAAATATTTCAAATTTTGAAATTAATATAATAGAAAAAAAAACAAAAAATCCTATTTTATTCTTTTAGTTATTTCATCATTATATAAAAAGAAAGTCAAATGGAAATCAATTAAGTAAGAAAGAAAAAAAAAACAAAAAATTTTCATTAAATAAATATTTAAATTGTACTTTTTATTTAATTAGATCAAAAATCTATTGAACATTTTTCTTTACCTGATAATACAAGTAATAGTGATTATAGTTCAGGACATTCATTTGATATTAATAATAAACAAATATTATCTAATCAAACAAAAAATTTAAATACAAATTATACAAATAATTTATCTCATCAAATATCATTTCATAATCAATATGATCGACGATCTTGTTTAAATAATGAAACATCTTATTTACCAAGTATACCAATTAGTTTATTAACAAATCGTTTAAGTACTTTTCGATATCCATTACCATCAAATGAAATGGTTTTATCTTATGAACAAAATCAACAATTACTTCAAAAACCTCAGATTCATGAAGATGATCATCAGTATTATGAAATTGGTTGAATCTTTTGTGTGTGTGTGTGTGTATGTGTTTTTGTATCTTTTCACTTTCCGGTGTTATATAAATATACAAACGAAGAAAAAAATAAAGTAATTGATTCTTTTTTTCATTTAATATTGAATCATAACTATATTAATGAAAAGATTTTTAGTCAATAGCAAAAAAAAAAAATTATATTTTTTTTTTGGATTTATTGATGAAATAAATCAATTGATATTGTCTATTGGCAAAATTTAATAGTTATATTGTTTTTAATTATAATTGTGCTTAGATTATGGTGATAAAGAATGAGACGTTTGTCCGCATGTATAAAAAGAATTCATCAAACTACGTAGTTGTTGACGAAATGTCACTGATGAAAGTGCATATATTAATGGATTAACACATGCTGCTGTTTTTGTAAATAAACCAAGCATTGCTGTTGTATATGGAGTTATGAAACGATCAAAACCGAACTGTGATAGAACAGCCGTTAATGCATAAGGTCCCCATGCTATACAAAATATAGCACAAATATATAATACTGTACGTCTAGCACGAGCTTCTGTAAGATAACTATTTCGTACTATCTGATTTTCTCCATTGGCTTCACAAATTGTTACTGTTTCACTTTGCTTTCTTGTATCAGTTACAGAATTTGCTGATTGAAAACTATAAACATTTGATTGTCTTGATCGTAATTGAAGATTTTGTTCATCACTATTTCGATATGTTAGACGACGACTACGTCTATTTAATTTTATTAAAATAAATTTGTATGAAAGTAAAATGATTGATAATGGAATTAAAAAACCACCGGTTACTAATGTTAATATAAATAATTTATCCCAATAACCTCGAGAAAAATAATCAAATGTACATGTTGTACCAAAACCTTCGAAAACAAAACGACTCCAACCAAATAATGGTGGCATTATCCAAATTGAACCATAAATCCAACTATATATAAGACATTCTATTAAATAAAACATATAGTTTTTTTTTCTTAAATCTTTCAATTATTATAGAGAATTTGAAGGAAAACTTACTTATTGTAAATTGACTACTTAATGTCAATGAACTAAGTGGACGGATTACAGCTACTAAACGAGTAATTGAAATAGCTGCCATTGTTGTAACAGAACCTAGACCAAATACACCACCACATATAGCATACAAATTGCAACCTATTCATTTAAAATAAGTATTTTAATATGAATTCATATAAAGGAAATCTTTTTACTAATATCCATTTCAAAGAAGAAAAAAAGGCGAGCGAGAATTCTTTAATAAATTTTGATAGGAACAAGATAGATAGCTGCAATTTTAATCTTTAGAAAGAGGAAATAAAGACGCATTGAATCATATATAACAAGTTTCTTTTCAAAAACCAACATATCCTGTGAAGTGACTATAGTTAATTTTCAATTATCAGCTATGCATTCGAACCACCAGTGGAAGATCTACAAAACTGCTCAAGGCTTAGATTTTTAGATTTAATTATTCAGAAGTCATAGATATTCTAGTCGTAATTCTCGGCCAATTTTTGAAGCAATTGCTGTGAACAAAAAAAAATCACATTTTTGCTGTTTTCTTATGTTAAAAGGAATCATTTGTCCAATACTTTTTTTTTTACAAGTTCCATTGAAAAAACTTCAGAAAAAGTCTTAGGAGAATCTATAATTTATGATTCAAAGCAACTTCATTTTTCTTTTCAATAGTGGAAATTTCAGCGCTTTATCTTATTTCTATTAAAACTTATTCAAAAGATATCCACATGCCGGTTTTTTTTTGAAACAGGCTTTAATTAATGTATATAGAGAACAGAGGTGTTCATGCGATATTTTTTGATACTCCGTGGGACCAATGAGTACCCTCTGGGTAGGGAATCCACAAGTCAATTTTTTCAAAACTATTTTTCCCAACGACGAAGAGACTAGGTTTTTAAAACTCAGAAGCTCATGGAGTAAACACAAAAACGATTATTTATTTTTTCAACAAAAAATATCTACACAAAACGAAACAAAAAAATAATGGATAGCAGCACATACGCAACTGCAAAAAAAGATAAAATATGTAGGCAGAACGTGAATATACTTATGACTAGATGTACGATAGCTCTCAGTTCAATGGACCGATTCTTTGTGAGACTAGTTCTTTTGAAAAGAGTCGATCACTATTTCGAGTTGTTCTGAAAAAAAAACTGGAGATCAAAACCAGTTCTGTTCCTTGTTTGAGAACTATAACACGTCTAAATGTGTAACACGATGTACTACTAATAAGGCAATAAGAAAATTTCTACAATCTGGCCATTTATCTTTTCAGAAATTTTAAAACTTCATATAGACCATGGGTAAGAAAAACTATCACCGGATGGGCCCCGACTCCATGGATGCTCCCATGAATATCTCTGATAGATAATAGTACATTAATATCTATTTCCTTTTGCTCTTATGACGATTGGACTTGTGTACATTGTTTCATATTGAACAATTATGAAAAGACAACTTCAGGCCTTCTATTATGCCCAAACGTATAAATTTTCCAGGGTAGTCTTCTTTTGTTTATTTATTTATTTTCAATAATCTTTAATTAAAAGAGTTTTTCAAAAAACTAAAACGCGATTTCGAGGATTTAGAAAGAGATTTTTAGAATTTTAATAAATGTAATAATTGAAGTTCCAATTTTGCGAGAAAACTATTAATGTAGGAAAGTCTTCTATTACATCCGACGCATCTTTCCTCAAAGAAGTCTTCTGTTGCAAGGATGGATTTAGTATAAAGATAATATATCTCATTATAAATGAAGGAGAAAACTCAAAAAGTGACCTTTCATGATTTTCACATGCGCAAAACTCTTGATGTCATTATATAAACAAAAAAATAATTTTCTCAGAACTTAGGATAGTTTTTTTTTGATAAGATCATGTTGATGTTCTTTTTTATCTATTCTTTCTTCTATTGATAATAAAGTATCTGAGCTACGGTTAACACTAAGTATAGTAATGATAATTCGGAATAATTAATGTGGAAAAAAATTAGTTCTAACAATAATTTAATTAGCATGGAGTTTTGACAAACAATGTTGATACAAACTACGTTGAGTACATTTTAGTTATAAGACTATAAGATATAATAGTAATATTATCTCAGGTTCTACTCCATTCTAGGTCATCGAAACATGATCATCAGTGAATTAAAATAGCTTTTATGTACACGACATATTTCATCGAGTATAGACTTAGACTTGATTTCGATATTCTCCACAGTCTCAATTTATTATGTACTTGTTTCATTAGATAAGATAAAAAGTAATTCTTTTTTTTTTTAATTTGATATTCTATGACATACAAATACATTCATTGTATTTGAATATTTTCAACATTTGATACATATAATCTATCTGAATGATATTGTCGAATTCATGTTTTAATATAATAATAAATTTACCTATTTGTCCAAAAATCCATTGTTTTTTAAATGATGCAATAACATGTAATGTATTATTTGATAGAAGTAATCCAAGATCAGTAATAGCAAGATTGATAATAAAAAAATTTCTTGGTTGTCGTAAATTTGGATCTCTAGAAAATTTATTTATACAATTATAAATAATTAATTATTCAATTTACTTAATAAATATAAACAAAACGATGCCATTTGATAACGTACCACATATTAAGCATAATAAAGAAACTAAACCTGTTGAATAGTGCCATATTGCTGGCACTGATGCAGACACATTGGCAAACAAAGAATAGTCAATACTCATTGAAATAGTTAAATGAACAAACGAGATATTAATACTCCTTCTGCATGAAATATAAAATAAAAAGGATATTGTTATTTATTAAAATAGATTTGTTGAAAAAAACTTTTCATAAAATATTAAAAACTTGTTTTGATGATATCTATGGGAATAAGTCAAAAATGTGCTTAACATCCACTACAAAAGGGTCGTAATGTCTTCATTCAACTCCTAGAAGAGAAATTCTTTTCTATTTTACTATTCAAAAAAAAAAAGTAAAATCTTCGAAGTAGAAAGGAAACACTCATCTCTCTCTTTCTTCCGTGCCCTCTTAGCAGGTGCTTGAAGATAAGTTATATTTTTTGTTTTTACTTTCAATTATACTTTTTGTGCCTCTAAAGACACATAAATAGTAATAATAACAATGAATTTTTATTATTTTCTATTTTATAGAAAGAAGCGGAAGATCAAATGATTTGTACGCATGGTGATTTACTAAATCATTACATGACATAGTAAAATCTCTAGTTTACATTTATATGCATGATCTCACATGGTAATTTATTTTCCAATATATATGTGATATAGAAGAATGAAGTCAAGAAAACTAAATGCAGAAAAATGACGTGACATCTCCTATTAACATAAAAACGTTAGAAGAAGTTAATAGACAAATTAAAGTCAAATTTATATCACGCAATATAAATTGATATATTGGAAGTGATGAAAAATATGAACATTTTGTTGTATTTAAAAATAGAAAGAAAAAAAAACATCGTATTCCATAATTCAAATATCTAATTTTCTAGATGTAGAATTATTGAAGAAAAAAGGATTGAGGAGAAATTAATTGACATAAATTTGACAGTAATTCCGATCTTTTTTTTCTTTTTCGAACTTACTCTCATTTGTTCTAGTTTACTCAAATAAGTCTAATTTTATGAAGTTTTTTAAAAGTATCCTTTCAAAAATGAAAACGAATCCAAATTCATTGCAAAGCAGGTTCACATTATTTGAATATTTCACAATAAAAATCCCATGATATACAATTATTAATAAAAGAAAATGGTTCTATCTCCTAAAAATAATACTATTAAATGTTCTAAACTTTCATATTTCTATGAAACATAAGACATATACAGAAAGATTTTCTCTTACTAATTTTTTTTACATTGAATTCGTTTCTCATGGGAAATGAACAGCATCTCACTATGCAGGCAACTGTGAAATTCACTAGCATACAAATATGCTTGTAAGAATACTAATGTATTTACTCTCAAGCAAAACTTATATTATTTTGCCTATAGAAAAAAAAAACCATACTTTCTATTCATAGATGAGAAGAAATGACTTTTTTTTTAATCTTCAATGTCTATGCATAAATTAAATTTTCTTTACATCATTTTTATAATTCATAGTTTTTAAATTCTAAAAACGAAAATCTTACAAATAGAAACAATAAACTATTCTAAATAAGGCTCAATGACTAAAAAGAAAACATTGTGTACACTACAAATTATAATCATATAGGCTTAAGCATCGGAATTTATCGTTCAATTATTTTTTATGAAACTTTAGCAACATGTTCAAAAAGTATGATTTTTGTTTTTAAACAGTTATTAAATTGCTGATAATGTTAATATTAAAAGTATTTCGTATGAAAATTTGTTTCCCATTTTATCAGTTTCTTGTTAGAAATTTAGAATGTCATCAACAGAGTTTCAGTTTTCAGATAGTTCAATAATATTTCTTAATGAACCATCTGGAAACAAAACTCATTTGTTGGTATTTCATGCTATTTCAAATTTCTAACGAAGAATCGGTATAGACAAAAAAAAAAGTTTCATACGAAGCACATTGAAGAAAATGATTATAAGAAAATATTTTTGACATGTTTCGTTTCTAATTAGATGTACCTGTTAAACAATAGAAGATGTTTAGCTTTATCAATGTATCATAGTTGACAAAAAAAAAAAGTTATGAAAAGTAATATCAATGCGATAGACGATTAGAAATATGATCAGTCTTTGCAGATATGCTGACCTGATGTCAAATAACCTTTAAACATTACGCAGACAGAGTTCTAGTTTTTCTTTTTGGTCAAAATATTTTACACTCGGTTTAGTTTTTGATGAATAATTCTGTATGTTTTTTTTTTAATGTTCGACACTTTTCGGAAAGAATATCAAAAGAATTCGATAAAACTAGAATGATTTCGAAAAAAGAATCAGAATCTCTACGAAGATTGTCCTTAGCAGGTCAAATTGCATGATATATAATTTAATATTTAGTACCTTTCTAAGAACTAATCAAAATCAAACAATAAATTGATTAGGTTAGCTGAAAAGAATATAATCATACAACGATCATCTAATGTAAATAATCTGATGTTTCAAATGAATATTTCTCGATTCTGATACAAGGAATAATTATGAAGAAATTTTCTTTAATCAAAATACACAAATTTGGATTTATGCGTACGGTAAATTTAACAAATTAGCTATTCTATAGTCACATTTCCCATATGAAACAAAAATAGACGCATATAACACAACACGCAAAAGCTAAATAATGGAATGGCGAATGAGGAAAAATGTTTTTTTTTTTGAGTATTCTTTTTTAGAGCTCATGTATTTTGTATGACAATCACGATAAAGAAGATAATTGAATTGTTAGACGAGATTTATTACGACTTTTATTTTATGAGTGTCCCATCAAGTATTAAAATAAATACTCTGTTCGGATAGATATATTCACAAAAAAGTTAAGTTTATTTTAGCATTTGAGGTTCTACAGAATAAACCTATGCATTAAATTAAAGTCAATTCAACTATCAACAAAACCTGTTTTTCTTATGTAATTGTTACTTGAAACCGATGTATATCCTAAGTTTTATATATCATTTCTTTAGAAGATAAAATTCCAAAAAAATTAGTAATTTTGTCGTACTATAACGAAAATTGTACTATCATCTATAAAAAAAACTGAAGAATTTGATTACAAAGTACAAGATATATAATTTACTAAGAACTTCATTGAAATGTCAACAGAAGTTTGATGTAAACCAGTATATTGACTAGTATTTAATTTCATTACTAACGTTTTCAAGTTTTTTTTTTTTTTTTGATAAATCATACAATTACTAAAGATCAGTGAACTCATTCTCTATTTATTCCTCATCTTAAATATTGTTACTTTGAAGTGCTATTGATCGCACACAATAGTCTTTTGTCAGTTTATTAATCTCGTTTGTTAAGTAGTACTTTTTCTTTTGCAACAATCAAATACAAACATATTTTTCTTACTAGATTTTTCTATTGCGTGAGAATTGTCTATGTTAGGTTAAAGAGTACAATCAATTGACGTTGTCATAAAATATACAAAAAATTTTGATGTTGATAGGATGACAATGCCAATGATAATAGAAATAACTATCATAAAAAAACAATAGACAATACAATATTGAATGTTGTTCTTTGACCATGTAAATACATTAATGTTGATATGTAGTGTTTTCCAAGCTAATAAAAAAATTCTTCGTATTCATGCAATAATAAATGCGTGCTGTATAAAAATCGGAAACAAACAAAGAAAAACATCAATCAATTTTCATAATGCAAGATAAAATCATACTAATGACCAAACAATATTTGGAAGTGTTGACACTTCTCGATTTTATTTCATTAACTTAGCATCAACACTCGATAAAAATACCGATCAATCTTTCCACGATTTTCCCAAAAAAACAACAAAACATCTTTATTAGATACCTCTCAAACTGATTCTTGATTGATTTGTCCCAAATGAATATTTCCGAGTTCGACACATACCTGATTTGGTTCTTATTTATCATCTAATTAAGATAAGTGAAATGAGTAATAAAGATACTTTATTGTTCTTTCTATATGTTGACAGAGTATGTGACATATGAGTAGAAGCGGATATCAGTCTAGAACAGTTGTATTTTTGACTTTTCCTTTCGATAATAATAGTTAGAAGGAATCTAAAAATACAATTGAGTAGCTGAAAGAATTCTCTATTAGGGTTGATGGGTATAAAAACTCCAATAAAACTGCTTGGATAAGGATGTCAGAAAAATTAAAATTTTCAAAACCCATTTTCTGGCATATATTGAAAGCTTTTTCAAAATGGTCTTATTTGAAGAAGCAAAATGAGATGTTTTGACTCTCTTCATGATGTTTCTACATCGAACTGCATTTTATTTGCAGAAGGTTTCAAAAAGTATTTGTTTTTTTGGTTTTTATGAAAAGTTTTAATAATTTTGTCGTATTTGACTCTTTCTATAAATTAAATGAAGCTCAATGAAGAAAAGTTATAAAGAGATGCGAAACATTTCATTTTACTCTATCAAAGAATATCATTTTCAAAAACTTCAACTAGTTTTGAAGATCTTGGTTTTCTAGACATCTTTATCCTAGTAATTTTATTAGAGTTTTTATATCTACCAATTCGGATAGAAAATTCTTTCAGTTATCCAAATGTTTTTTAAGATCCTTCCTAACTATTACCATTGGAAAGAAAACTCAAAAATACAACTGCTCTAAATGTATGTTCATCACTATACGTAACAAAGATAAAGTACAAGCACAACATGATAAACTCTATTCCTTCGCCAAAAAAGTTTATATTGTATGATCGAATTTTTATAGTCAGTTATACTTTGTCGAGCTCGCCTGCTCTCTCACATAGCTTGGAATAGGTCGATCAACTTTCAATTTAACAATCACATTGATGTTTTGCATTGTAATATAGCTTGTAAATTTAAATTGTAAATTGCCATATCACAAGATACAGGTGTTATATATACTCTCAACTTCAATTGTTATCTTCATTAAAAGATTTATCAGGATCCAATTTGAAAACAAAAAAAATAGGATAATCTATTATAATTGTTAATCAGTAACGAAACGACTGTAGACTACATATATGCGAGAACAAGGTTTTCTGGTCCCGGTGAAGTTTTATCTTTTGATTTCAGTCCCGGCCACCAAACTGAAACTGCTGTCACACATGTCTAGTGTAGACCTTTTGATATCTATTACTTTCTACATTACGAACAAAATATCTTACAATCCAAATTATTGTTGGAACGTAAAGACAGTATATTTATGATGAACGAAGTTACACAAATAGTAGAAAAAAAAGACTCATAAAAGCAACAAAAAAAACTGATATCTTTAAAGTTGAAATTGTTATAAATAACTTAGATTTTTTTTTAAATTGTAAAATCTATGTTTCATATCTATTTCTATAAATTGATAATAAGCAGAAGATCAGATGACAAGTTGATAATACAATATTACTTTAAACTTGCATCGTCATGAAAAATCTCATTATCAATTCATTGATATAAATAAGAAAGATAAATTTCAATTTAGAAAAATTCTAAGACAAAAGAGAAAAAAAAAGAGAATCTTTTAGAAATTATGACGACCAACATTATTAAACTCAGAATTTGTAGCAAATGTTTGTAACATTTGTACAAATTCATTAGCTGATGGTAAACGACCAGTTTGAAGTTTTGACCATAATGGAACATCATTAATAGATATTTCAAATGCACCCGTTGAAATTAAATATGACTCTATTGAGTTTGAAAAGAAAAATATCATCAAACATGCATACATTTTATTTTGTAATGCCCATGAATAAACTGCTGGTGTTGGAATATTAAGAAGAGTAAAAGGATTTTGACCGAAAAGAAGACAAACAAGTAAAGCCATTTTAACTATAGATAAAATACGAGCTAATAAAGCTTTGGGAGGTGCTGGTGGATAATTTTCACCAACAACTTCCATATTTGGGTATTGTGTTCGAACAAGTTGAGCAAATTGTTCAAACACATTTCGGTACCTAGAGAAAAAAAGAAAATAATTATAAACAAAGAATAAAAAAAAACTATATATATGTATACCCTCAGCTATGACAAAAAAGAAATTTAATTGTTTGTACTGCTTGTTTTTTTATTTTAGGTGGTGGAATAGATGAAGATTGTTCATATTCTTGTTCAGAATCACTATTAAATGACGTTGAAGTTGATTCACTAGTATTTGTCTCAGTTGATACTGAACTTAAATATGATCGTGTTAGATCATAACTTGTTGATAAAAGAACAAGACTCAGACCGAATAATAACTTTCGGTCGATCATGTTCAAATGCGTAAAAGATAATACTCTCTGATCTTTTCAATATGATAAATAAATGAATGACAAAAAAACATTTAAAGTATGAACCAATCAATTTTTAATAAGATTACGTCAGATATGTATGTTAACAAACGACATCTACAGGATTATTAGCATATGAATTAAAAATACTTCTGAATGTATTTTGAAAAAGATCTATTATGAATATAAACAACTAAAAGTAATAGAATTTATGAGTCCCGATTATCTAGATTCCAACTGGAATCTACTAAATTCTGTATTTCAGAATTTGTTTGATTTCTTGTTGTTATTAAAAACTTGAAACCTGAATAATGACCATATATTTTACCATTTCATATAATTAACTCTTTATTGTTTATTAGTTTCACATCATAATACTTTTTTTCGATTATATCATTTTAACTTGAGAATGAAATAAATACTTATCTTTTAGGACTCGTTGAAAAAATAAAAACATCTACAACTTTTTTTAGTTAATTTTGAAAATGTATATTAATCAATTAACTAATTCAAAAAAAAACAATTCATTCAACTGTGAAACATAACTATTGTATATTTTTTCTAAAAATGTCAAGAATTTTAAAATACAATAAATTCATGTTATTTTTATTGATATTATTTTCTTCTTAACAGTTTATTTTCGAATAGTTGTTTTAAAGTGATCGAAAAAAAATATGTCATTCTTTTATTCGACTTAACTTTATAGTAAGTAAGAAAAAGCAATCGATTAAGTGGATAAATAAAATCTTCATGTATTCATGTATATTTACTTAGATATTCAGTAATGGACTTTGTATATTAAAGATTCTTTACGTACATTGTTCATATAGAATAACATACTTTGATTATGTCAATAAATACAAATATTATTTCATTTTTTTTTCCCATTCTTTCTTTTTCTTTTTTGTATGAAAGAATTTAAAAGTTTATTAACAACTTCTTCGATTTCTTTTTTCAACCTCATTTATTAAAGAACGCAAAAAAAATATTTTTATGAAACCAACGACAAAAAAAAAGCGACATATACTAATTATTGTTGAATATGTTTGGCATCTACTTGATTTCTTTTTTCTCATTTTTTTACTAAAGCTTCGATCATCTTCATTTTTAATAGAATGACAGAAATAGGTATACGATTTTCAATTACCAATGCACCATTGCAAGTCACAACAGAGACAACTATGATGCAAAGAAGAAGAAGAAGAAGCCCAATAATAGCAACCTCTGCTAATTTATTCAATAATCGTCAACGAAATCATCAGATGCAATACAGTACTGTGTTACCAATCACTTCTTTCGCGCCCTTCTCTGATTTCAAAGAAAAATTCATTCGCATGGCAGCATATAAAAAATCAATAAAACAAACGACAACATCAAATACGATACCTACGGAATTTCATTTTAAAAGTCCACTATCTGATATGTCACAAAGTAAACCACGCGTAATGTCATCACATCGTCCAATAATTTCAAATATACCAAAATCATCTCTTAGTTATCCAACAGCAATTCCATCTCCAAGAACACCATATCGTTTAAGTTATTACCATCAACAACAACAGCAAGGTGAACGATTCTTATATGCTCTTAGGACACCTGTAACACCTCGTCGAGCTGTTTCAGCTCGAATATCTAATAATAGTTTAAATACATTACCACTTCATCAACAACCACATTTATTAGCATCTCCACTTTTACCACGTCCACATCCACAATATGGTCATTTTCTTGCCTATCTTCGACGACAATCATTAGCTCGTATACGTCGCAAACAACAAGAAGCAGGAAATACAGATACTATTGAATCAACAATAAAATTTAATACAACTAGACCAATTTCGCAAACATTTCATTCAATATCACATGCATCTCTTAATATATCAACAGCAGAACTGTTGTCAATGCCAACAATGTCTTTAACATCAAAACGACGATCACGACCATTATCATCTCATCAACAAATTCGGCGTCCATCATCATCATCAATACAAACAAATTATCGTTTAAGTTTAAACCAATCACCATCATTAAAAGTACTACCACCACCACCATCATCACCAACACAACAAACACCAACAAAAATAACATCAAATGAGCAATTAATAATACCAACATCAACCGTTCTTACACCAACAAATTCAATTGTTGATGATACAATTAAATTATCAACATTAAAAACACCCTATGAACTACAATTAAGTGGTGATATGCTTAATTATTGTTATGTTAGTGATAGTGGAGTTAAATATCAAGGACAATTACTTGCTACATTTGTTTAATCAAGATTTTTCATGTTTGATTATTATATGTAAAAAAAAAAAGAATTTTTTATTTGAAAATTTTATAAAATACAGACGTTTTTGAGGATGAGCGTTTAGTATTTGGTGTTGTAGATGCAGATATATTGTTTGTTGTTGTTGTTGGTGAGCCTGCTTTAATTGGTGGTGAAAGTAATAAATTTGTTGTTGATGATGATTTCATTGATATTTGTGAATTTGGTTTAATTAATTTTGTTGATTTTTGTATCAAATTGACTGGTATCGGTGGTGGTAAAGGAATATTTGATAATGATGATAATTTATCTGTTTCATTTGATAATGTAAAATGAATTGATGAATTTGATGATGATGATGATGATGGACAATGAAAATTAACAATTGAATTCATTGGTATTATTGTTGTTGTTGATGATGATTCTTCATCAATTGAATTCGATGCAACAACACGTTCACGTTCTTTTCGTACTTCACGTACAGTACGATGAAATAAATGTTGAACATATTCATAATCATCAGCTGCTGTTGTTTCACAAAAAGCACAACTAAATTTAGCAGCTATAGCTTCACCTTCACATTTTGGAATTACTCTAAATAATAAGATTTACTTTTTCTTTATTTTTTTTTTGTTTTTTGTTATCAATATGATTATGAATAATTATTTACCTTAGACGTTCTAAATCAAGTTTATTACCGAGTAACATAAGAACAAGTTCATTTGTTGATACAGTTAAACTTTTTGAATAACTTGTTATAGCATCTAAATAAGCAAGTGCTATCTCAAAACTATCTTGCTGAGTTATACTATAAGTTATTAATACTGCATCTGCCCATTTTAAATAATATGGTAAACGTTTCTCATCCTTAAATTCAAAAGCAACAAAGAAAAATAAAAAGAATTCAAATTTTTTTATGTTTTTTTTTTTACTTTTCCATAGGTATCCATGACCTTGACTAAAACTTCTTGTTGATCAACAATATCTGGTTTCCAATAAGTATCTTCTATAATAATGAAAAAAAATTCATTTCGCTTTGGTTTATTATTAAAAAAAAGACTAACCAAGAAAAGGATCATATTCACAAATGAAACGTTTTGTTAAATATTTAACAACTAATGCTGATTTACCAACATTTTGTTTTCCAAGTAAAACAACATTAACTTCTTCTTTTGGTAGACTAGCTGTTGATTGATGAGTTTTAATCGAACTATTTATTGATTTATATTTACTCATGCCGCAGTTTTTTTTTCTAATACTAAAAATACATATATGTTTATGTAAATAGTTGATTTTACAATTCTTTTTCTTTGATCATGATTTATTGATAAAAATATCTATATTCACCTTGTATATCAATGACATTATAAGAAGAACAAAAGGGCAATAAAATGCAGACTGGTACGCTTCTTTTCTAGTTCTATCAGTACAGTACATATAACAAAAGTCAGAACAGAGAGGGAGAAAATGGTGCGCGCAATATATACAAAAAAAATGTAGAGAAAAAGCGGTGTGTATGTACGCATAGTGGTAGTGGTACTATCTTCATAATGCAGATGTTTAGTATATATCGAAGAGTAGAGAAAAAAAATCGATCATTAAGAACAGAAGAAAATATATAGAACATTCTGTTATATAGGCGATGTATCACGCGTCAGCCATGACAAGTTTTAGCAGAACCTTGCTCAATCAGTATTATCGATTCGACTGATATTTTTACAGTAAGTAAATACATTTATATTACGAATCAACTGGAAAAGATGACTAATTCTGGCGTTATAGATATGGCAAATATAATTATTCAGCTCCATTGGGAATATTATGCAGTGTAATACTTTCTTCAGTAAATTTTTATTTTCTACAGAACAACAAGAGTTATAGTAGAGAGTTGTTTACTATAGATGCTATGAATCCTGAGCTATCTCCAAAGAGTATGACAACTTAGATAAAGCAAATTGGTTGAATGAGTCATCTTGAGAATAGTCTCATTTGAAAGAACACATCAGAATGCATCGAATGGCATTTTCAAGAGTTTGTACGATTGAATTTCGGTACACAAAACGTTTTGAACGAGATGAAAAAGCGTCAATGAGTCATACAATTCGAACTGTGACGTTCGATCATTTTATTCTCAAATGTTTGATTTACGTGATTTAGATGAAAATTCATGCCGAAAAATCTTTTAATTAAAAAACTTCAACTCCTTTAAACATGTGTGTGTGGAAAATATTCAATTCACTTCATTTTTCACATATTCATATTTCATTAAAGGAGTAACCAAAGGAATAGAAATTTCCACTATAAACTATTCTGATTGAGATTTTTTATGTTTCTAAATGAGACTATAGCAATGTCAAAAAGTTCATTGATAAAAAGTTGATATCTTGATAGAAATCAATTAGAAGTAAGAATCTTTTTGATGGTTGTCATTGTTCATTAGAAATTACATGAACCATACAGTTTTCATTAAAAAGTAATTTGTCATCTAGAAAAAATTTCCAGTAAAATAAATTATACGAATTGAATAAATTTTAAAAAGATTCAACAAAATAAATCTTTCATTATTTGTCACACGGATATTTAAACGCGTTGAACTTTTTAATTGAAAGATTTTTCGGTATAGACTTTTATCTAAATCACATAAATCAAACATTTGAGAATAAAATAATCGAACTTCATAGTTCGAATCGTATGACTCATTGACGCTTTTTGATCTTGTTCAAAGCATTTTGTGCACCAAAATCCAATCCTCCAAACTTTTAAAAGTATCATTCGATGCATTTTGATGTGTTCTTTCAATGGAGACTTCTCTCAAGATGGTTCATTCAACCAACTTACCTTGTATAACTGATCATACTCTTTGAAGACAGCATATAATATCTATGGTAAACAACTCTCTATAATACTTCTTATTATTCTTTAGAAAATAAAAATTCACTAAAGAAAGTATTACACTGCATAATGCTCCCAATGGAGTCGAATAATTATATCTGTCATATCTATAATGTCAGTATGACTCATCTGTTCAAGTTTATTTCTAACTTAAATGTATTAACCTATTATAAAAATATTAGCCGATTGAGCAATGTTGATCGTACCTTACATGTAATGCTCGATAGACAATAAAAAGAAAAATTATTTATTTTATTGTGCAATTTTTTGTAAAATCATATTCCCAACATCGATAACCATAGACTCTATTATCTATTTGATCAATATTTTTAAAATAATCATATTGAATCCATGCTGAACGACAATGACATTTGAATAAAACATTTGTTGGATTAATATCAATTAATGATGATGGATTTGATTCAAGAAAAGGTTGAAAAATATTTTCATCGAAATATGTTATATTTGTATGATAAAAACGTATAAATACAAAACGATTTCGAAAACGACTTAATGATGTTAATTCAAAACTAGTTGAATTTAACATTTCACCACCAAGATATATTTCTAACATATTGGATATACCATTATTTAATATGAAACGATTTCGTTGAGCTAATGAATATTTATTTATTTTTGTTAAATTAGGTGAAAATATACGTAAAAATTGTAATTTTGGTAAATTATAAAAAGCATAATCACCAATTTTTTCAATTGGTTGACTTTTATTTGAATATTCAAGACCAAACCATATATGAGTTAAATAAGTATGATTAAATGCATAATTTGGTATAAATTTTAAACGATCATTATGCATACTAAGACGACGTAAATATTGAAATTGTTGTATTATGGAAAATATAGTATCACTATCAGATAAATTTGTATTTAATGTTTCAAATACTTCAACATAATTTTTAAAATAAGAAAATGCATTTTTATCAATTGTTGTTAATTGAAAATTATCTTGAAACATTAAACTTTTAAATGTTATATTAATAAAAACATTTTCAGGTAAATATTTTATTGTTGTATTATATAAAAGAAAACTATCAAAATGCATTACATTTTCATCTTCATTAGATATTATATTATTAAATAAACTAAGTTTTAAAAATATTAATTGTATATTAAATGATGAATTATATATATGTTCACATACAATAGATTTTTTTTGTACAGTAATTGTTTCAGGATTAGTATCATCAAATAATAGACCAGTATGAGATGGTATAGCAGATTTACATAAACATGGTTTAATTACAAAATTCGGTGGACATTTACAATTAATTAAATCAATGTATTGATTGAAGAAAACAATTATGAATAAATAAAGAATCTTACTAAACATCATTTATCGATTAATGAATGTTAAAATGATCAAAGAAGAGTATTAAAAGTAAATGTCAAAATAAAACCTGAGATATTGTTTGAATTCGTTATAGACAGAAAAAAAACCGAATAATGCTCTTGACATTATGACAACTAATATGACTAATTTCAAAAAAAAATCATCACGTTTCTTTTTGACGTAAAACAAAATGATTTCTATTTAAATGGATTAAGTATTCTAATATGAACTTGAACTTTGCTTGTTCAAAGTACGGGGGCACATAAGAGAGATCAAATCGGCCTACTCGTATTTTTTTTGACCCACTTCATTGAATTATATATCAACGGAAAGAGCATGTTGAGAATAACATTTTGGTATTAATTAGTTTCATGAGGTTTTTATTATTATCCTAATAGTCCGTTCTGTCACAATGGATTCTATTTGAGAATAAGTAGGTCAGACAAAATGCTACTGAAATTATAAATTTCATAGTTTTTATATGATGTTTCAATTCCATATATAAATTACTAACTGATTGTTTGATTTCACAAGATATCGATACAATGTAGTGGTAGACACTATCAGTATATTTATTGTATTTATCAACAATTCTTATCTTTCAATAAATATTTTACTCTAAAAATTGAAATGACCAAAAACTCTGATATTGCTCATTTGATAGCTCTTTTAAAAAGCTACAAAATTATATATTTTCCAAAGCTAAAAATATCGTGTCAATTAAAAATGAATTGCATCAAACTACCATTTAAACATTATCGAAA